AAAACTGCTCCGATTTCGTGCATAAATAGCCCCCTGCCCAGCCGATTCTTTTCATAATTTCAGCAAATAAAATAATTCTTGGCCTTAGAAAAATAATATCATGTCTCTAGTCACCAAAACTTTTACCCAATACACCCATGAATGGTGTCGGTCTCTAAATGCCAGAGAAAGAAAAGAATTAGATTTGTTCCACTTGGGTGGAATTTATGGTATCAAAGGGGTAGATCTTGACTTAGATTTTATTCATACCGCTCTAGAATATTGGAATGTTGATACTCATTGCTTTAGAATAGGGTATGATGAAATTAGCCCTTTGCTGGAGGAGTTTGGTGCTATTTTAGGTTTCCCTGCAATAGACCTCATAGTAATCCCTAGAATAGATGCATATTATTATAAGGATTTTGAGCGCTTCTTTAATTTAAAAGAAAGGGATTTATCAAAAATAGTAGATGGCAACATAGTTAATTTGAAAGAATTTGCTCGCCATTATTTTGATAAACCTCACTCCGAATCTTTTCATATTTATAGAAGAAAGGCTTTCTTATTTTGTATGCTTAATTAATTTTTTCTTAGTAGTGGTAAAAATAATGAGGGTCAATCAATTATAACCACCGTACTAGAACAAATTGAATCAGGGAGAAATCCAATGCCATTGATAGTTGGAGAGACTATGATTAGTCTTGATGAACTGAAAATGAACCCAAAAGCACCTTTTCGGGGTTCTCCAATTTTATTACAGGTAGAAAAATAATATTTTTAATTACAGAAATCAAAAAATATATTTTTGTATAGTAATAATAATTTATTTGCATTGCGATTTTTTACAGATGTGGCTAATGGAAAGGCTAGAATTAATTAGCCCTCCGGACAACATTGAGAAGTACACTCCGAATTTCTTTGTGAGGAGGAAGAAACGCTTCTCTAAGATGGGGCGCCACGAGTGGAGAAGGGTCTTCGAATCTCGCAATTTTGCTATCAAGTGGGTCATCCCGTGGTGGAAAATAGAAAGGATGGTTGGTGTCAACAAGCAACCATTCTGTTGTCTTCCAAGTTTGTCCCGTATGACTTATTACTATCCCTGCAGGGTAAAAAGACAATACGGCCTTCTTCAGGATATTCCTTCCGGGGATTTTCGTCCTCCCTATGAGTACCCTGTTTCCCAGGAAGTGGACAGATTCGATGCTTATTGGATTGCCAGACCTCTATGGGAAGTAATTACCCAAAAGGTTCCTCTTTCCATGCCCAATGATGTGAAGAAGTGGTTGCTGAAGAAACCTTCGAAGGACTCAAAGAAAAATCAGGGTAAAATTGATGCGAAGAGTCGTCTAGGTGACAGGGTGATTCCTGCCAAGGAAAGCTTAGGTGAAAGAATTGAATTCAAAACACCTGCAATGCCTAGGAAGAAAAGTACTACCAAAGATAAGGGAAAAAGGAAAGCTGACACCACAGAGAAAAAAGCTTGGGTAGAAAAGAAGCATGGAGTCCTTGCTGAAGGGGAAACTATCTATTCTAAGATTGAATGTAGGTCCTCTAAAGGATGCCTACTAGTTAAGGTTATGGATGAAGAGGAGGAAGCAGACAAAAATTGGAAAAGGGCTAGGAAAGAAAAGAAGGATTAGGATCATTGCTTAATTTCAAATTATTAGACTTAATTTATATTTTTTATTTAAAGTTAATTTATTTCAGCTTTATTGAAATTCCATCAATAATGTAATTTTAATTTATTAATGAAATTTCAGCTTTTAATTAAATTATGTACTTTAAATTTATTTATTAATGCAATGAAAACCGAAAAAATTAATTTTCCGAAATTTTTCGAGTACGAAAGTCAAAAATTTTCCGAAAAAACACCGAAATATTCCCAGAATTTAACTGTGAATTGGCGCCGCTTATCTGCGACTGGCGCCTGCCAGAGAAGTCTAGCGTCAGGCGACAGTGCCGTCGGCGGGCGCTGATGGTCGTCGGCTGGCGCTGATGCTCAATTTCTGGCGCTGGACTGTTTTCCGTGACGCTGATATTTCGCCGATTTTCTATCGAATTTTTAATTAATTCTGGGATGTGAGATTTTTGGAAAATAAAGTGGCCGCACCCGTAAAGGGTTGCCTACGTATCCTTTCTTAAGGAATCAGGCCAAACGTAGCTCTCTTAAGTATCCTACTCAAGTAATTATGGGTAGTATTTATTAAGTTGGTCAAGATTTGTCATGTTCGAGAACTCATTGCCATCCATATTAGTTAGTTTTGTTGCACCCCCTGACAGGATTGTTTTGACAATGTAGGGTCCAGACCAATTAGGTCTAAATTTTCCCCTTGGATCTAAAACATTTTTCCTTAATGCTTTTAACACCAAGTCTCCTACTTTGATGTTTCTTTTCTTGACCTTCTTATTAAAATGCCTAACCATGCGAGTTTGATAACACTGAGTGTGATGTAGAGCTTCTAGTCGTTTCTCATCGAGTAGAATTAATTCTTCATATCTTGCCCTAATCCATTCAACTTCATCGAGTTTACTCTCTAACGCAATGCGTAGAGATGGTATTTCTAGTTTGACAGGTTGTACAGCATCCATACCATATACCAAGGAAAATGGCGTATTTCCTGTTGATGTGCGAATTGACGTGCGGTAACCCCACAAAGCGAAGTGAATTTGTCAAGCCAATCCTTATAATTTTTCGTCATTTTCTCGATGATAGTCTTTAGATTTTTATTAGCTGCCTCGACTGCTCCATTTGCTTGAGGTCTGTAAGGGAAAGAATGATGATGTTGAATGCCGTATTTTTGTAGAAATTCTTCACATTCGGCTTGAAAGTGAGTTCCATTGTCACTTATCATTTCATGTGGGACTCCGTATCGACAAATGATATTTCTCTCGATAAAGAGTGCTACATGTTTTGTAGTGAGTTTAGCGTATGATTGCGCTTCGACCCACTTTGTGAAGTAATCAATTGCTACTAAGATATATTCGTGGCCTCCTGTTCCTGGGGGAGTTATTTTGCCGATGATGTCGATTCCCCATGTAGAGAATGGCCATGGCGATGTGTAGGTGTAGAGCAAGGATGCAGGAACATGTTGTAAATTGGCATAAATTTGGCACTTAGGGCATCTTTTACATATTGATGGCAATCCCTATTCAATGTAGTCCAATAATATCCTTCTCGCATTATTTTTTGGACTAACATTTTGCCATTTATATGAGTGCCACAGATTCCTTCGCAGACTATCCTCATTGCTCTTTGTGCATCCTTCTTTCCTACACATAAGAGAGCTCGACCCTTAGGAACCCTTTTATGTAGCTCGTTGTCTATGAGTACATATTGGGAAGCCAAAAGCCTTAATGCTCGTTTTGCTCTTTTGTCAGCTTGGGGAGGGTATTCTCCTTTGGTGACATAATTTAGTATGTCCGTGTACCACGGTTCTTCTTCTTCTTCTTCTTCTTCTTCTTCTTCTTCTTCTTCTTCTTCTTCTTCTTCTTCTTCTTCTTCTTCGTCTTGGACTACTTCGTCGTCTTCTATAGCCTGGATGTATGCCGGTTTGTGCCTTTTTTCTATAGTTAGAGGCATTTGCTTGATTTCCGTGGGAATCCTAACCATTGAGGCTAGTCTTCCCTAGGTAGATATGTGTATTCTACCTTTTCTAACTGATCGGTAAGTGTTTCCAAATAGGTTTGGTAAGGGGCTAGACTTTCGCTCCTTATTTTCCACCTTTTAGATATCTGATTGATAATCAAAGAAGCACTACAAGAAAAACACCTTTCCGTGGCGATTGTAATAACGTTTAGTATCAATTGTTTATGCCACAAAAACTTTCCCCAACAAAAGACTATTCGATACAAGATCCCCCGTTGCCTTAGCCTTTGGTAGCGCTTTTTGCATTCGTTGGGGTTGATCCTTATATTCGATACGAAAAACTAGATCCAAGCGTGATGAATACTGTAGTGATTATAATCGTTGTAAAAGCCTAATCATACCTCAACTGAGATCACATATGATAGCAATTGTAATCGAGGCTATTGCTTTATGGTTGCGTTTGTAATCGACATTATTTGTTAGTTACCGTAGTGAATACAAACACCACCGTTGAAACTTATCGTAGCGAATACAATTGTTACTATTTGTATCTATTGTGGCGAATGAATCGATACATTTGGTAATTTTGGTGGCACTTAAAATCAACACTAGTGCTTAATTATAGTGTCAAAAGCAATCGACACTATTTAGTTTTTATTGTAGCGACTAGAATCGATATTAATAGTACTTATTATAGTGTGAAGGATTGACATTATTAATCTTCTCGGACTGAGAAAGCGGAACTGCTATCTGTAACAAGTATTTGTAATCAATATTATAGAAGTCATAAAATTCATATTAAAATTCATATTATAAGTTTCCACACTCAAAATTATTATTACATTAAAATAAATATTGTAGATCATGATTCCAAAGTATTAACAAATATCACTTCAAATAGTGCAAAGAAAAAAATAACTCCAGTCAGTAGATGAAAACAAATACACTAACAAGAAAAATGTAACAACTACTTAGTATATAATAGTGTAGATAATGTAAAAATACCCTAAAGAGAGCCGAACTTCATCATATCCAATTTATAATCATCTGCATATAAAAGAGGCAAAAATAAGTTTATTGATACAACTTTAGAGAGATGGAATATGCACTTTAACTTATTATAAAATATTTGTTACCTGATGCCAACAAAAGCATTTGCCGATCAAGTTGTCATGACTAGCCAGTAAAATCGTCATCATCCTATATCAAGCCATTGTGATTTGTCAAATTTTCAAACATCTTTAAAATATATAACTTACTTTTATCAATATTTAGAGACAACTTGAAACATGAAAGGTACAACTCTAACTTATTAAGTAAACACTAATTATTAATCAAGGTCAAAGGCAAGCAATCCAACAAAGTAGCTTTGATTAGTAAGATAGATTAAATAACTTACCAATTCATCTACATTGGCTCCCTCTTGAGATGATGGTTTTTTTGGCAGAGTATTTGTTAGAAATTCAACTAACTTAGAGAGATTATCCTCTAAATATTCTTGTCTCTCATGCATCTGTTTCATGTCTTCCTTTGCCTTCTCATGCATTTCTTTCAATTCTTTTTGATGTTTTTCTTGTATCACCTTAATTCTCGCCTCAATTAAATTCTCAAATTGCACATTGTCACAATTATTTGAAGAAATCAAACGTAATTGGCTAGCTGATGAGTTATCTCTTATAATAGACGAACTAACTCCAAAACCAACTCCACGCAGTTTGCCATACTTTTCTGGCTTATTAATAACTTGATCATATATATCACCCGACCATGCAATTCTTCCTTCAGATTGTTCAACACCACCAGGAATTTCAGCTAGTTTTTCTTTCATCAACTCCTACATTATTGAATCTTTTACAGTTTTGCAATAGTATGTAAATAAAATATTGTAAGTAGGAGTGTTTTGAATGGTTCACTTACAACAGCTTTAGCTGATTCTTCATCTATCTTTTTTTTTATCCTTTGTCTTTCTATCCTTATGAGTATCAATATAAATTTGTGCTCGAGAAGGCTCCACACCATTAATAGTCTGAAATCAGTAACAAAATTCTATAATGAGATAATTTTCTAAGTAAAAGCAAAAGTAAAAAGAAATTAAAAAAACTCATTATAAAACCTTTTCTGCTCTTCTGCGAGCAAAACTCTTCCTTCCAGAACAATGAGGCATTTTTTGTTTCAATTGGTTGTTCTTATTCATAGTTGCACGCGTCTAATGAATATCAAAAACACATATTCACAAGTAAGAATATTAGTAAAGTTTACTATATAGCTCACAAGTAACAATAATATAGCCTTAAAAAAATAGCATAATATAACATAGTGGACTATGTTTTAAACTAATTAACATGCAGAATGATTTTTCAAAAATTTTGACAGCATCTCCACATAAAATGGGTAAACTAAATTTATTAAACCTGATAGCAGTCCTGTATTTTATATATCCAACAAACAACCAGTACAATATTTCCCAATATCACAACATAATAAGATAAAAATAAAAAAATTACTCCAAACCAACACTAAAGGGACATAAAGTTAAATAGGAAAAGCATACCTTAGTCTTATCTTGTTCCCAATATGTAGTTAATTTCAGCCATTGCTCGATAGGTACACGACCAGGCTTGTTTTCTACTAGTAGGTCCTATTATGCTTGTTTGGCTCATAATACTCAGCCTTTAATTCTCCTCTAAAATCTTTCACTCTTTCTCCTATAGTCTTTAGAATGAAAGGTTCCCCAATACGTGGAAACGTAAAACGTGCCTGTAAATTAACAAAATAACAATATTAAGCAAAATTTAATATTGCACCAAAAAAAAAAAGAGAAGAAGATAAGAGAAATGAATAAGGTAATTCTAAATATTACCCTTATCTCATCCATGCACTTATCTTTGTATTCCTTTGGAACCAGTCTCCAATCAGGATGTCCTTGTGGTGCTAGCTCTGGATTTCTCCCTATGGTGCCTATAAAACTAGATAAAAGAGTACTTTCTTCACCAATAGGTTGTCCATAACGATTGAATTTGACAACCCACTTTTCTTCCGGGGATTGGTTCCAGATGTCAGCAAGAATAGTTGGACCTCTACGAGTCACTGGATAAAAAAATTCACAAGTACATAATAGTAGACAATAAATAAAAAATGGCAAAAAAGCTTATTTTATTTTTTATTGAACAACTAGTTTAAGTCAATTACTTAGATACAAGTCTATAATACTCCTTCACAATCACACATTATCGTCCACCAAATTAATACTTTTCTTTGTTTCGTGTTTTTTACTGGAAATGTGGTAAAAGGCAATTACTAGATCAAATGCATACCAGAATTTTCTTCACTATCCTGATCATCTTGCATTAATGGATCCATCTCATTTTCTATGGTTGTTTCTTCTCTAGACATTATTTGTTGGACAGTATGCGATGCGTCCATATCTGTATATTGAGTTTCAGCCATTTCTGTTGAAGTGGAAGGATTCTCCACATATACTCTGATCTTGTTCAAACGTCTTCTTTTTGCCATCTAGATCTGAAAATGCTCTTAAAGACAATTGAAATATTAAGATAAAAACATATTGATTAAAGATATCACACCCAAGTATTAAATAAAAAATATATGTAAAAATCAATGGTAATTATATGAGTTAAAAACTTAAAAGATATAAAAATGACACTATAAAACAAATAAATAACATATTTAAAAAAAAAAAAACATCACTTAACTAGAATATTATTCCCAGGTATACAAAACCAGTAAATTTTTTTTAAAAATCATACTTATACTGTACTAAGTTTCTCGACAACATTCATGCCTTGTACATCACTTGACATCCAAGTTAAGTCATCAATATCAATCTCAACATTTTGCTGATCATGCACACAACTTGATGTTTGAGTTTCATTAAACTCCATTAAGTGATTTGGCTCAGAGTCTTCATCACCCATATCAAAAGTATCTCTTGGCTTTATTGGTATAGGAATATACCAATCCCGTGCAGTTCTATCTTGAACATATATAACTTGATGCACTTGAGAAGAAAACACAAAAGGCTCATCAGTCAAACGATTTCCAGAATACATCGAGCGACTCAAATTAACTAAAGTAAATTTTAACTTGTCTATCTTTATCCCACTTGCATGATTTATATCCGCCCAATCACACTTAAATAATACAATCTTAAACTTATTATAATAATTTAGCTCGATTATATCATCAAGAACCCCATAGTATGTCACTTCTCCCACAATAGGACGTGTGTCTCTAGTGCTAGCATAACTTTGTGTTTTTGCTACGACCATGACACCGCTATTTTGTGTCTTCTTATTCCTTTCATAATCCTTAGTACGAAATCTGTAACCATTATTTGTATCAAAGGCATGGAATCTTTTGGCAACATGCATTGGACCAGTTGCAAGTGCTTTAACATCATCTGAGATTCTATCATCACTTTTATTGCAAGGATCATTCACCTAATAAATAAATTAAAAAATAAAATCATTATACTATGCTTATTAGGTGATCTAGCTAATCTATTTATTAAAAAAAATAATCAACACTTACAAAAATTTTCAACCATTCACTAAATTGTTCATTATGCATACGATCTAACTGAAGTTGTGTTGGGCGACTTCGTCGATGAATTCTCTTCAAAAAGGCTATGTGCTCACTGAATAATTCTAAAAAGTCAATAAATTTGAAAATGAATGAAAATTAAAAATATGGTTGAGTAACAGGGGCTCATACTCTCTTAAAGCTTCAATTTCCTTGCAATCAGAATTAAAAAGCACATATCTATGTGCCTGAACCTCTTGTCTTTCATCCATCATAAATCCTTCAATTTTTCCATAAGGTTGCCCAGTTGAAGCAAAAAGATCAGAAACTTCAGTAGGTTCATCACTAGCTAAAGCATTAGATCTAGTTGAACGGTTTACTCTTCCATCAACATCAGCCATGTATCTTGAGCAGTATGTTAAGCATTCTTGTAGAAGATACCCACTTGCAATTGAACCTTCAGGACATGCTTTATTTCTCACATATGAACTAAGAGTTGATAAGTATCTACTTATAATTTAAAAGAAAATTTAGATAAAAGATTGTAAAAATAAAACATAAATTAAAAAAATATATTGAAAACTAATAACAATAGAAGGATAAAATGCATTAGTTACCTCTCAATAGGATACATCCAACGATAATGGACTGGACCGGCAATTATAGCCTCATCAGCTAAATGCACCATTATTGTAAAGAATGTTGGGGGGAATATTTTCTCCATATTACAAAGTGTTATAACGACCTTTGACTTAAGATCGGTTAATTCTTGCACAATGAGTGTTTTTTAGCATAATGCTCGGAAAAAGTCACACAGCACAATCAACACCGAGGCCACTTTTTCAGTTACACTTTCTCGCATAGCAAGAGGAAGAAATAATTGCATCACATGGCAATCATGGCTTTTAAGGCCACTTAACTTTCGCTTCATTACTCATCGGGAGATGTTTGATGCATAACCATCTGGAAATTTAACATTCTCCAAAACCTCACAGAAACGATCTTTTGCCGAATTACTTAAGTTATAAGGAGCAGGAGGCAAATAATATTTTCCCTTACTACGTTCAACAGGCCACAAATGTTTTCTTACTCCAATCTCTTTTAAAGTACGACGAGCTTTCAAGTTGTCCTTTGATTTTTTTGGAACATTCAAAAGAGTATTAATTATATTGTCACACACATTTTTCTCTATGTGCATCACATCAAGATTATGACGCAATTGGACATCCTTCCAATAAGGAAGTTCAAAGAAAATGCTTAATTTTTTCCATGTTTTTTCTTTCACGCCATCAATTTGGCCTGCATGAGTTTTTCCAAGGGTAAAAGAAACATTCTTTAATTGTTCTAGCACATCATATCCAGATGGTGGACTAGGAGCTTGTCTATGTTCTTTGGTATTGTCAAAAGATTTTTCATCATCTCGATACTTATGATCTAAATCAAGATGCATTCGAGTGCCTAAATAACAACACTTTCCACTATTTTTGTATCTCTTAGACCACGTATGCTCATTACAACAAGGACACGCATTTTTACCATATACACACCAACCAGATAAGTTGCCATAAGCAGGAAAATCATTAATCGTCCAAAGAAGGGAAGCATGCATTTGAAAAGTTTCCTTGTTATAAGCATCATATGTGGGCACCCCTACCTCCCATAGCATTTTTAACTCATCTATAAGAGGCTGCAAGTAAATGTCAATATTATTCCCTGGAGCTTTAGGGCCAGGTATTAGGAGTGAAAGCATAAGAAATGGCTTCTTCATGCACAACCATGGTGGCAAGTTATATGCCATTAAAATTACTGGCCATGTACTATGAGTGCTTCTCTTTTCACCAAATGGATTAAAACCATCAGTTGCCAATCCTAATCTGACATTTCGAGGTTCTGATGAGTACTCAGGATATATAGAATCAAACTTCTTCCAAGCTTCAGTATCAGTAGGATGCCTTAAAACACCCTCTTCTTTTTTGCGATCTTTGTCATGCCATATCATTTCTTCGGCAGTTTTAGATGACATGTATAATCTTTGGAGCCTTGGTGTTAAAGGAAAATATCTTAAAACCTTAATCGGAAATTTTTTTTACTTTCTTTGTTTTCGATCTAGATGAAGCCTTACTAGAACTTTCAACAAAAGGTTTCCATCGTGATTCCCCACATACACTACATGTATCATCCGTAGCCTTATCTTTCCAAAAAAGCATACAATCATTAGGGCATGCATCAATTTTCTCACAACTAAGACTGATCTCATCAGCAATTTTCCTAGTCTCATATAGAGATTCAGGCAATTTTTCCCCTTCTGGCAGAGCCCTTTTTAAAAGTTTCAATATTTCATTAAATGAATTGTCAGACCATCCAAATGAAGTTTTGATATGATAAAGATGTAAAATAAAGGACAACCTAGAGTACTCACTACACCCAGGGTATAATTGCATAGTAGCATCTTGTAATAACTTGTTGAACATATCAACATTGCTATTCATATGCTCATCATTGGTTTGTTGATTATCTATATCTGAATCAACTTGACCATCTAAATTAGAAGCATCATTGACAATTTCATCATGAAATCCAAAGGCATCTCCTAACATATGTGTGAGATCATCAGCAACATTTTTTTCCTGTAAAACTTGGCCATCCCCTAATAATGTAGATGTTGAACCTAATTCATTATTAGTGTACCATTTCTCAAAATCACGCATGGGTCCATTTATTACTAAATGATCGTAAACTTCTTCTTCACTATGCCTATGGTAACGTACGCATTTGCTACAAGGACACGCAATTGTAACATCACAAGCACTTTCAAATGCTAGTAATACAAATTTAGTTAAGCCATCTTTATATTCCACACTTCCAATGTCATAATCAGCCCAGCTTTTACGCTTGCGATTATCCATAATAAATCACTGTTATTGAAAAATATAATGTGATTCTATGAGAATTATTAAAATTAAAATTTCATATGTATATTATGTAGTCATAATCAGCATATATAAAATTCTAACCAACACCTTATGTGCATATCTTTAAACAACCAATTATTCCATAGAACATGATCATTTTATTATTTAAAGTCATATATGAGTCAATCATATAAGAGAAAAGGTATTTAAGAATCTAACAAATACAAAAAAAGAAGATAAAAGTTGCTTCCTCTAATATCTTTGTTATATTAAGTTGTAAGTAGTACTTGCACTCGTTAGAATTGAAGAATTATATCCTAAAAATGTACTCCTTCCGTGTTTTTTAATGTGCTACACTAAGAAGATGCGCCTGTTTTATTTTTAAAGCATTACACTTTGATTTTTTTGGGCAAAAAGTTACATTTCAATCTCTCCTCTCATAGTTCCCACCCAAACCCACTACTACTTTTCTTATTTTTTCTTTCTTACCATATTTATTACTTTGTATTAAAATATTAGCCTCACTATTTTTCTTTTACAAAATCTTAATACTATAACTACCCCACTTACATCTTAATTTATTTTAAGTAATCAAATTACCAAAAATTATATGCCGCTAAAAGTTTAACACAATGAGCAAAGCTTTTTTTTTTTTTTTTTTTTTACTTCGTATCAACTACTATTATTATTTTTTAGCTCTTGTCTTGATTATAGTTATATAATTGAATTAGTCATATACACCTTGAGAAGGTTAACTACTGATATGAATGTTCTTTCACATAATTTGAAAGCTTAAATCTTCTACAGTTTAAAAAATTTTCATTGTCTACTAGCAAGCTGTTAAGTTTTATAATATGAACCATATAACATAAAGCAAATTAAACAAATAACAACCACTACCAAACAAAGTAATGAAATATAATCAACACTTACAAAATTTTCAATAACTTTATACAAAACAACAACATATAATTAATTGAACTTTAGAGTTAAGCGCAACTTACAAAAAAAAAAATTTGCCGCAACGATAAACTTTAGAGCTTCCAACAATTAAGCCAAAAGAATCTGACAATCGAAAATCAAGAACATGTATAGTCCATTAGTGGAATGAACCGCATAAATCTACTTAATAACAACCACTACAAACTTCTATTTGTAATCAAATATAAAAAAAAATCATGAAATATCATAAACTTTAATATACAAAGTTCTTAAATTTCAATGTGACAAATGTAAGTAGTTTCAATTTTAAGACCAGTTGCAAATTTGTGTGATTAGCGTATTTCTTTTATGGTTAATTCTGTAAAAATATCAAAATATCAAACTTTAATAGCACCCGCGTTTTTCAACCCGAATGGCATTACCTTGTAGCAGTAAGTGCCCCATGGTGTTATAAAAGTTGTTTTTTCCATGTCTTCTTCTGCCATGAGAATCTGATTATAACCTGCGTACCCATCCATGAATGAGAGAAACGCGTGATTTTCCGTGTTATCTACCAGAATATCGATGTGTGGTAAAGGGAAGTCGTCCTTTGGACTTGCCTTATTTAGATCTCAATAGTCGACACACATTCTTACCCTTCCGTCTTTCTTCGGAACTAGGACGACGTTGGCGACCCATTCGGGGTATTTTGACACCTTGATGAAACCTGCAGTTATTTGTTTTTGGTCTTCTTCTTTTATTTTAAGAGCTACGTCGGGTTTCATTCGACGTAACTTTTGTTTTATGGGTTTCATTCCTGGAATTAGTGGTATAGTGTGTTGAGCTATTTCTCTATTAATGTCTGGCATATCTTCGTATGACCAAGCAAGTACATCGATAAATTCTTTAAGTAAGTTAATTAAATCGGTTCTTTCTTGTTCATTAAGTGTTAATCCGATTTTAACTTCTCTTTTATTGGTTGAATCATTTGAGATATCAATCGTTTCAGTTTCTTCAATTACCGGTGTTTTCTTTTGAAGTGTTTCCATTGCTTTAATAATTTCTTTGTCTTTTTCATTGTTAGTTAAGCAATGCTCGTCATCTTGGGTTACAGAAGAACACAAGAAATAAGGAGAAGGAGAAATATTATTATACTCTGAGATCATTACATCAAAGAGTGATATGTCCTAAGGGACTTGATCACTAACTATTCTAGGAGAAGAAATAGGAGGAGAAGGTGTTACTACTAAAGACATAGAAGACTCTAGGGGGAGAGACTCCGACTCAGTCTTTGACTCAGACGACTCTTCAAACATTGGTCCTTGCCCTGTGGTGATGGATATCTTCCTTCCACTTGGAGTAGCCACCTTGATAGTCTTGTGCCACCCTTGTAGTGATCCTTCAGCTGGAGTGATTAGCTTCGAGGGATCGAAGCTTTCGCTTTGTAAGACTGTTTGAATGAGCGAGGAGTTATCTTTTCTGTAAGTTGGCTCATTCTTTTCTCGCCCAAATAGTAATCCCATGACGTTAAAGTCAAAGCATGGAGGAGCTTTCTCCTTATGGACAGGAGTTGGGATTTCATCTGTGAAGTAGCAATCCAAGAAAATCTCAAATCCCGGTTGTCTTATGCCGTTTACAACAAATCGCTCGGGAAATTCATGGCATGGATAGTCCTCTCATTCTTTTATAAATTGACCATTAAGTGTAAGAGGGTAGTGATCCATTGGGATTGCTTTCTTTTGAGTGCGAGCGTCTCTACGTGCCTTTGATTTTTCCTGGGCTCGCTTGAGATCTTTCCGATTCGGTTCGAAACCAAGTCCGAAAGTGTCTAACTTAGGGAGGCCAGGTGACTTCAGCGATTTTGCCATTCCTTTCTTCTTTACTAGGGTCATCCAAGGAAAATGTCCTTGTTTCTTCAACATAGCATTTACAATCATGTTGGAATGGGGGTCATGGCAAAGAGGGGTCCTTTTATCCTCCTGGATTAAGGAGACTTCTTCGTTAAATCCCCATAAGTCTTCATCATCCTCGTCGTGCTCCACATTAATGATTGGATTTTCTATAGACTTGATCCTCATAGGCGAAGCATCGATGGTGATAGGAATTCCCCCAACTATAGATTTTACTTGTTGGTGGAGAGATGAGGGGACGGCCTTTAGGTCATGAAGCCAAGGGCGCCCCAACAGCAAATTGAACGAAGCTTTAATGTCTACAACTTGGAAAGTAGTAGCATGTTCTATTGCTCCCGCCATTACATTCAGGGTAATTTTACCAAGCGCTTGACGACGAGTGTTGTCATAGGCCGTTATTCCTTGTGTAAACGGAGTTAAATCTTCATCCCTTATGCCTAGCATCCTCGCAGTTCTAAGTGGACAGACGTTGATGGCCGATCCGTTGTCTACAAGAGTCATAGGGACATTCATTCTCTTGCAAACTACTGTGAGGTTTAATGCCTTGTAGTGTTTGTCACCTTCTGGAGGTAAATCCTTGTCAGAAAAGGTGACCAAATTAATTGGACTAGGAAGATCGCTTGTGAGGAAGTTGGCTAACCCCTCAGGAGTAGTGTCAGAATCTA